ACTTAATATCTTTAGAATAAAAATATTATATTTGAATTAAAAAATAGATGAAATCCAATATATCCAAATAAAATGGATTAGATATAAAATATCAATAATCATATGTATAATTAAAGTAATATAATATTATTAATATAAGTTATATATACAAACTATAAATTAATTTAAAATTAAAAATAAATATCAATCAATTATTATAGTATATTTACTAGGTAAATATTTATGTCCGTGCACGAGCACGGGAAAATCAGTTATATATACAAACTATAAATTAATTTAAAATTAAAAATAAATATCAATCAATTATTATAGTATATTTACTAGGTAAGTATTTATGTCTGTGCACGAGCACGGGAAAATCACCTAGTGCTATATTATATATCTATAAAAGGAAACTTTTGCAATCAAACGATGGAATAGCAAGAGATCTATAGACCGATCATACCTTCTTTCTAGATATTTTGGATATAGAATGAAAACCGGGTTAATTTCCAAATGAAAAAGAAGATGTGTAAACACAGCTTTTACATTCATTTTGGTATTCTATACATGCTAGTCAGCTAGTGTAATTTTCAGTTCTAAACTATAGGCAAACTATATCATAAAATATATAATTCATTTTCATTTTTTGGTCTTGTCAACATTAACTAATTATATATATATATATATATTAAGCAAAAAAATATTAACTAATTCAATGATGTTGGGGAAAAAATAAGAGAACAAAATGTAAACGATAAGTCAAAGATGGAATCTGAAGGGAAGAGAGGCCCCGAGAAGGAAGGAAGGTAAGAGAACACGTGGCAAAATGAGAAGCGTGGTCCAAAGAATAAGGAGTATGGGGAGACGACACGTAATTCAGCTAGAAAGCATGCCCATGTGACCTCTTAGCTTTACATCACTCATTTTCTTGCGTGGAACTTGTCTTTGTCACCCACTTTCCTTCCTTCGTCATATTTTCCTTTTAATTATTTTTTACATTTATATATTAGTTCTATTCTTAACAAAAAAAAGTTTATTAGTCCTATTTATTTTGTGCAAATGGGAAACACCTAACAGAAACCAAAACTCGACTCCTTTCCAAACATATTAATAATGTTCACATAAACGAGCTTAAATTAGTTGCAACTCTCTAGTTATATACCCTCTAATATTATCGGGTTTGTAAAAGCCATACCATGTAGGGTTAGGCACAAATACCCGTTATTTTTCTTATACTCGTTACTTACCCCGTACTTAACTCGGTTTTTCAAGTACTCGTTGTTATCAAGTCGAGTATCAAGTATTAGAAATTAGATACTTGCAAGTACAAGACAAGTAACAAGTATGAAAAAAAAATTAATTATTCGCCTTGATATTACTTATTACTTGTTCAAAGAAAATGTTTTTGTTATTATGAGAAGTGAATAATGTTCCTATACAAAGATATGTGTTTTTTTCTTGGTTCTTCTTTTTTATAACATGTACAAATATTTTATTTATTATAGTTTTTTTACGTTTTAAGTAGAATAAACAAAATAAACTTTTATGTGCATTTTTTAATAAATAATTATTGAGAAAATCAAATTATTTAAATACTCGTAATTATATATGTAATTCATAAGTACTATCATATAACTCACAAATATTTGCAAATAGCAAGTAATAAATCAAGGTAAGTAACTTGCAAGTAATTCATTTTCAGCAAGTACTCGGAAAAACAAATACTCGTTTTTAACAAGGCAAGTACAAGCCGAAATTTTCATTACTCGAATAAGGCAAATTAACTATCAAATATCGTTAAAATAGCAAGTACCCGCCTTGTGTCCACCCCTAATACCAAGTACCATGTGCTTCAACATACACCAAATACTGTTTTTTTTTTTGCTAAGAATGTGAATAATATTTATAAAAAAACGTTTGATACAAGGTGTTAGCTTGGGTCTCATTTTGCCTTGAAAGCTCGATGGTTTCTAAGAGCAGCATTAACCAGGATTGTTACCCTCGGTTTCAACAAAAAAAAATGGCGGGTCCCAGCATTATCAGTAACCACGCTGCTTCTGTCGTTACAATAAGCAACGTTGTTTGGCCAAAACGCGGATCCCATTGACATGTGGCGGCATGCGATTGATTCGTTTTAATTTTTTTTTTTTTATAAATTCAATAAAACGAAAAAGTTAAAAAAAAAGATAATAATAATAATAATAAGCAACCTAAATGGTTGTTAGCGATATTAATGGTCTAAGTGCCCATAAAAGCTAAGCAAAAACACTTAGAGAACTGAAAGAGGTCTAGCAACTACCCGAAGAGACAAAAATGCTACAACTAATTAACAAGGTCACTTAACCAACTACTTGAAGAACCGGTTGGTCAACATCCATAGACGGACCAGTAGATAAACAACAAATACTGTTCTTTCACGTAACTAAAGTTTTGGTTGATTAAACACGTTTGAGTTGAGGTCTAAATCAACACTAAGTGCATCGAATATAAGAATGCGACGTTATAACTTATAACAGACAAAATGATGGCCCGACAGTGCATACACTTTATATAAATATTCGTGCGTCTGGGAGATAAAACTTTATATGTGAGTTGTATGATGTGTCTTCCTCTAATTGCGAGAAAAACTATGGGGGACACACAAACCAGAAGAAGCTTTATTGGTATCATGTTCTCATTGGATGAATGAAATTCAACTTATTTTACCTGATAAAACTGTATTCGTAACATAGAGGCGAGATGGTTAAAAAGATATTGAGACATTCTCTCTTATATATAATCTAAATATTGATTACAATCCATTTGGTCTAACTAACATCATTACTCACTTTGTTTAAGAAAAAAACATCCTTAGAGCATGTTTAATGCATGTTGCTTAGAGAGTTGCTTAGGAGGAGAGGGGTACTTAATTTGAAGAGAGAGAGTGTGAAAAGTGCTAATTCTCTTCAAATTAAGCACTTTTCACACTCTCTCTCTTCAAATTAAGCACTCCTCTCCTCCTAAGCAACTCTCTAAGCAACATGCATTAAATATGCTCTTACTCTCTTAAAATAAAATACAGAGTTAAGTGAAAAGTTTTGACAATTCGGTTATCTCTCTTCTGTTTTTTTTTTTTTTGTGTTCTTAACCTGCAAAGAAAGTACAGTAGACAAGTTGAATCTTATCCTGTCTCCATTTGAAGACCAACCCCGTGAAACTCACGTGCATAGCCGTCACTCAATGTCGGAATACACCTTCCTCTGCTTTCTCTTTGGACTATTGATTTCTTCCTAATTATATACCTTCCTATGATTCCTGTTCGTTTCCTAGTCCCTAGCGCATTAGTCATTACACACCTACAAAAGCACATTACAAAAAAAAGCACACTATATAACCCTTACTATTCTATTTTCTACCAAAGTGCCCGTTTTTATATTTTGAAAGTGTACACTACTATTTCTTTTATTTTTAACATGTACTATTAAAAGCCTTCAATCATGTCATATATATATATATATACATAGCAATATAGCATATTTACTTTATCACAGACTTGGGGTTGAAACCCTGAAAACAGGCTCAAGGTGTGTTAAAAGCTACAATTAGCAAAGCCTTCAGTGAATTTGTATTAGCTTAGTTTTCGTATTCCCCTTTATATATATATATATGTCATTTTTTATATATGTCTCTTTTCTTTCAACATACTTTGAGATTAATTTACAATATATGATATAGGGGGCAAGCTAAAGGATTATAACCAAAATTTACAGCAAAAACCTAACTTCCATTAGCTAAATTCATCTTTTTGTAAAAGTCATAGGGGTCAATCGACTTCCCTCCTCACTACATGGCTCCTCCACTGTATATGACCGTAGGTTTCACATACAAGATCAACGTCGATCGATCATATATACATAAGTCATTTTGTTTAAGTGAATCATATTAGTGGATTTCTATGTTTTGAGGTGACATGATTATATGACACTCTTTTTCCTTTTTGGTGTTACATTATCGTTTAAGGCAGAAGAAATTAACTTGGTGAAAGGAAGAGTTGTTAATGTTGTACAACGCAAAGGAGGTCACGTTCAGTTAATCGCACGGTGGAATATTATAACACTACTTATTACGAATAAAAGCAGGATTTTCAAATAAATAAATAAAATTCTGGAAGATTCGTGGTCATAGACTTATAGTCACTAGACTTATGTAAAATAATAACCAGTAGGGAAAACGGAAAAAGGAGGAGCACATTGCTTTTCAATTAAAGGAAATGAGTGGTCTCGAGCTCCGAAAACAAATTAAAAAACCCTATAAAATTGACTAATTAACAGTATAAACTAAAACAAAGACAAAGACAAAGACAGGTTGTATATACAAGTTTATACAGTTTGTAGACAAAACAAATTAAATTAAACAAAACGTTAATATCCAATAGTTATCCACATACAATTTAGTCGGATCACTCGTCTACTTAATAATCCTGAGTTTGGTCGCCTTCGGGATCCACACCACGTCTCTTGTCCACAATAGTCAGCCACACCTCATTCACATGTTTTATTACTTTCATAAAATGCAAACTATGATCTTGAATGCATCAGTCCTTTTATTTCCCCTCTAACATGAAGCTTTTATTTTCTTATCATGAGGAAAATAATAACCTTGAAATGATAACTAAAAATTTGAACACAAAGACACTTTGAAAAATGTTCCAACAGATATAAGTAAAGAAAAAAAAAAGAATAAATAAACTATTATGAAATGGTTCTCAAATTAGTATTATCCTCAAATGTATATCTCACAGAACATAAAAAAATAAATATCTATATTTGAATGCGTACTATTATAATAAAATAAATAAACAAACAAACAAATGGCATAAGTGTAAGTAAAGGGAAAGAGAACTTGTGAATAATAAGGTCACAAGTCTTCCGGCTATAAAAGCATCTCTCAACTTCACCAAAGTCATATCCTATTGTACCACTCTCAGACAGAGAAAAACAGCAAATCCTGTCTTAAAAAACCAGAGAGAAAGAGAAAGAATGGATCAAACAGTGCTAGGCACTCAAGTGTACCCCTATAGCTACACGACCCAAATCCATAGCCAGTGCATCATCGTTAACAAGGTCGATGGATCATCATCATCAGGAGAAGGATCTAAGCCTGTGAAGCGGCGGAGGAAGAGGAGGAGCAAAGGTTCGTCGGCCACCAGCGAAGATGACATGACGGCGATAGGAGTGATGTTGAGGAAGAGGAAGTTGACAGATGAGCAAGTGAATATGCTCGAATTCAGCTTCGAGAACGAGCACAAGCTTGAGTCAGGGAGGAAAGAAAAGATCGCCGGAGAGTTAGGTCTTGACCCGAGACAGGTAGCTGTTTGGTTCCAGAACCGCCGTGCACGGTGGAAGAACAAGAAACTCGAGGAAGAGTACGCCAAACTCAAGAGCCAACACGATACCGTCGTCCTCGGCCAATGTCAGCTCGAGTCTCAGGTATAACCCTTTTTTTTTCTTAAATCTTCATCATTACAAAACAGATAAACAATTAATGTTTTTTCTTTTGCCGAAATTCATGTTAACTTTTCATTCAGGATGATTTCTTTTTACCATTCTCCGGATATTCTTGAATTAAGTATGAGAATTAGGGTAATTATAGGTTAATTAAATTGATTTATACTTAGGCATGTGAGATGATAAACAAAGTCCCACATTGGAGAATTAGACAAGGAGTGTCTAATATATAAAGGGAAGTCCAACTCTAATAGTATGAGGCCTTTTGGGAAGGAAACCAAAAGTAAAATCCGTGCGGGCTTTGCCTCTTAGGCCCAAAGCGGACAATATCGTACTAATAAGAAAAGATAGAGTTGGACAAAGGATTTCACAATCCCAACAATTGGTATCAGAGCGGTTTGACGAAGATATGCAAGAAGACCAAAATACCCTTAAGATATGAATGGGGATCCTTCAAGTAGGAAGAGGAGGTCGTGGCATAAACTGTCAGAAGATCATGGAACCTGTGGTGTTGTGGGAGAAACATTCTCAAAGAAAACCCTGCGATTACTGGTACAAATTGGAGCCAGATGATTCGCTGAAGGACAAAGTACACGAGATGAATGTGGTCCTTAGTTTAAGGGGGAGAATGTGAGATGATAAACAAAGTCCCACATTGGAGAATTAGACAAGGAGTGTCTAATATATAAAGGGAAGTCCAACTCTAATAGTATGAGGCCTTTTGGGAAGGAAACCAAAAGTAAAATCCGTGCGGGCTTTGCCTCTTGGGCCCAAAGCGGACAATATCGTACTAATAAGAAAAGATAGAGTTGGACAAAGGATTTCACAATCCCAACAAGGCAGGCATATGAAAATCGAAATTTTGTATTTATTTCAATCCGGTAGACTTAGGGCTTAGGAGGCCAGGGCCCACAGACGACATGAGTGGATAGTTCGTCATCTTTTTATTCTTATCCAACGTTTTAGAAAGCAACTACGCCGTACAATCTAAGTTGGGCTCATGATAGCCCATTTGGAATTCCCACTGAGTCAATGCCACGTATAAACCATTTTCTGCATTTAGGCTGACATGCTAGAAATATTCTCGTTTGATTTGATGCAAATTCATCACCATAATTATAGTAGACGTTGGATGGATAATGGAGATAAGATAATACTTTTTGGGGGTTAAAACTGAAGATAATACTTTAATTTGTGAGGCCAAGAAGAAAAACAAATGAGATTATGTTTTAGAGTATGTTTTTGTTTTGTTTTAGAAAGATGTTTTATAGTATGTTGCTCACTCTTATGGCTGTCACTGGTATTAAATATATGTCTGCGTTTTAATTTTCAGGTATTAAAACTGTCGGAACAATTGAGTGAAGCTCAAAACGAAATTCGAAAACTTTCGGAGCGACTTGCCCAAGAAACGTTAACAAACAGTCCCGGTTCACCTCGTTCTGTTGAAGCCAACGGTGCACCATTTGATTTCGAGTTTCCACCGGATATTAATTACAGCGTCCCTTTTTACATGCTGGATAATAATTACTTGCAGAACATCGAGTATTGGGATGGGTTGTACGTGTAATTTTAACAACTAAGTATTTAGAGTGTATGGATCGAAAATCATGTTAAAATGAATGTATAAATAGACATGTTTATCAACCTGTTGTAAATGCAGTGTTTTAAATATTTTATTTTAATATATAATCCTCCTTTTTAAGTTTCACATATATGTATTATGATTAATCACTTTTAAAAATATATGCTAAAATACACTGTTAATAGTAGATGACTATATATAGTTATATAGGGAACCTGAATTTCATTGTTATAGAAAGTAGATATACAATTAAATATATAGTTACCAAATTGGTTTTATATCCAGAAACTCCTGATTTCATTACTCATAAGTCATTTCATTTATATTGCAAATCCTGTATAGATAAAGTTTTTTTTTTAAGAAGGGCTGTTCTGTATAGATAAAGTTTTTTTTTTCTTTCCGACCTCATTAAAACTGGAGATTACACGAGATCATAATTAATAACTAAATAATGTATTAAGATAATCTTTAATTTATCAAATAAACCAAAAGGAAAAGAATATCCACGACGATCATTTTGTCAAGGAATCCCCTATGTCCTCCCGTTTTCCCTCTCGTTCCTTTTTCGAAAAAAACATAATTTACAGAAAAGGAACCTAACTTTGCTAGACTTTACAGAAAGACCCCAAACTTTTACGGGTATATAAAAAAAGGCAGCTTCACACTTTAACACTCTCTCTTTTCTCTCTGTCTTCTTCGTCGCTCACGCCAGAATGCCTCGCGGCTACCAACGAGCTCCGTCAACGGAGGAAGCAACAGCAGAGATTCCAGCGGAGAAGAAGCTCCTTCATCCCAACTACCCTTTTCTCATGTCCTCAAAAGGTCTCAATGCGTTTGAACTCGAAGAAGACGAAGATGAAGGCTCAGACCTCGATGATCAGTTGGCTTTTAGCATAAGCAACGATGTTCTTGTAGATGCCAAAGAAGTATCCTTAGGGGAACTGATCGGCGAAGGCTCATCTTCTAAAGTCTACAAAGGATTGTGTGTTCCTTCAACAAAACCAATAAAAAACAAAAGCTTTTCTTTTTTTACTTTCTTGATTTCTGTTTTTTTTTTGTGTACAAAAAAAGTTTGAATTTTTTGGTTAGGGTTTGTGTGAAAGATGGATTCTTTGGATGATTTATCGGTTCAGGAAAGTTCAACCTGTGTCAGTGAAGATATTCCAGTCTCAAAGAGTTAGTAGCATTGAGCAGAAGAGAAAGTTTGAAAGGGAGGTTCTCTTGCTCTCCAAGATTAAACATGATAACATTGTGCAGGTTCTTTGATTATTTTCATTTATGTTTTAGTCTTACTTATATCGAATGTATTGTCAGCTGAGCTCATTTATTATGACAGTTTATTGGGGCCTGCATAAAACCAAAGCTGATGATAGTTACTGAACTTATGGAAGGCGATACTTTGCACAAGTTTATGTTGAGTAATCGTCCAAATCCTCTTGATTTGAAGCTCTCCATTAGCTTTGCCTTGGATATTGCTCGTGGAATGGAGTTCTTGAATGCTAATGGCATCATTCACCGTGATTTGAAACCCAGTAATAAATCATTTTCTAATTTAATTTGCAATATGTCAAGATTGTGATATTGAATTTAGCAAGGTTTGGTTCTTTGCAGGTAATATGCTGTTAACAAAGGATCAGAAACATGTGAAGTTGGCTGATTTTGGACTTGCTAGAGAGGAAACTAAAGGTTTCATGACTTGTGAAGCTGGTACCTATAGATGGATGGCTCCTGAGGTGATTCTTTCATTTCAATCTATATCCACTGGTATCACAAATTAAAGATTGGGTTTACTCAGATATTCAGCCATGAGGCACTTCAAGTTGGAGAAAAGAAACTGTATGATCATAAGGTGGATGTGTACAGCTTTGCTATTGTCTTCTGGGAGTTACTTACCAACAGAATCCCATTCAAAGGGAAGAACAACATCTGTGTTGCTTATGCGGCCAGTAAAGTAAGTAAGCAATGTTTTTTTAAAGCTCACTTGAACATGGGGCATTGATCCTCTTTTTTCTTTCCATCAGAACCAGAGACCAAGTCTGGATAATCTTCCTCCAGGTGTTGGTTGTCTCCTTGAAGCATGCTGGGATGCGGATCCTAAAGCTCGTCCTGAGTTCAAAGAGATTACAGTGTCACTAGAAAAACTGCTTAGAAGCTTATGCTCAGATGATGATGCAACCGAGGATTTGACAATCAGTTTGGTTCAAGAACCTCGTGTTGTCTATGACTTTCCCAAACTGAAGACTACCAGTAAGAAGAAGAAGAAGAAGAAAAATAAAGTGATGAATATGATGGCTCCGTTCCTCAAGATCTTCACAGATTGTATTCCCAAGTAGAAGAAAGTGTTCCTCTTCATATATATGCACAAAAATTAGTTTGTCGAAAAATTAGAAGAGTATTATAGTACCAATTTGCAGACATTTTTCACATAAATATACAACACAAAGTATACCAAGTCGTATATTCACGTGTGATCAAACTGATTATGCGATTGATAAAGGACTCTTTGAAACTAGTACACAATAATTCATGATCTTCTGTGTGAGCTCAGTTATTACCGTTACAAAATTTAAAAACCAAAAGGACAGAATCTTGGAGGGATTGGTCTTAAGCTGGTGTTACGAAGGAGACTACGGCAGTGATGTCATCAAGCTTTCCTCCGTAATACCTGTATCCAGCCTCCTGCGCAGCGGTTGCGAAAGGACTCTGCCGTTTCTTGTCCAATGCTCTGGCACGTGCCAAATCCGCAATCTTCTGAGCCGTGGCTTTCGGGTCCAGTCCAGCTCTAACCGAGCTAACCACCACTCCTGTGATGTCTTCGTTGTATAGATTATCATACACACCATCGGTTCCCGCCACAATCACATCTCCAGCTTCCACATCAATCATGAAAACCTGATACAAATACTCACTAGTTAGAGCCTTAGAGGGTTGTTTATGAGACTTCATAAGTAGCTTGCAGTCTTAATAAGACATGAGAAGAACATACCTGACCGGATTGAGGCAAATCGCCACCAGAGTTTCCACTACCTAATTGATAAGTAAAGTTGAAACCGTGCTGCTGAACCGGTGACTGAAACACTGTGGTCCCGTCTCTAACCACCGTGAATCCACTGTCGCCAAGATTAATAGCGTGTAGTCCCTGAAAGAAGGAAAACATTTTAAACACACAAAGTACCTAAGCTTCTTTTTTGTTAAAGCAAAAACATACCTTGTCAGTCAAAGCGATGATACAAGCAGTGGAGGAGCCTTGGGCATTGGTTTGAGAATGTGCTTTCTCTAACACCATAAAAGGGTCAACAGAAGAGCCCTTAGCCTGTTCTCGAATAGCTGATACAGAGTAAGACATTAGTTCACGAGAGTACAAGCCAGCATTGACACCGACTTCAGCCCAACCGCCAACTCCATCAGCAACACCAATAACTTGTTCCTCATCGCAGATAAAGTGAGCGTCTTCTCCACCTGTAGCTTCTTTCTCAGGATGTGGGAGATAAAAGGAACCAGACACTAGCTTCAGAGACCTACTCAAAAATAACATCATTTAAACTCTAACTCAAAACTTAACAAGGAATTCTATTTTTACCACAAATTTAATACCATTTTCATAAATATCCTAAATTTTTGTGATGACAAATAGAGACTAAACTATCTTACCATTTTCATAGATATCTTAAATTTTTGTGATGACAAGTAGAGACTAAACTGATCATTTTAAATAATTATAAATGTTTGATAATTATTTATAGAATTTTATAAACCCCAACCAATTAATTGTATTTTAGGCAATTTCTCAAACTTAAAATCATCGAGGTAACTACAGAGACTTAGAGAACTTACTTAAGAGATGTAGTAGTTGGTGAAATCTCAGAGTCTTGGGAAGTAGACAGCTCATGAGCTGAGAAACAGACAGTAGAGGATGTATGAATACTCTTGGAGAAAGCCCCAAAGAGTGAACTAGTCTTCTTGTCCAGCGGATAAATGCTAGAATAGTGACAGACCAATCTGTTCTTCATCATCAGCTCTCTCTTCCTCCCAAGTCTCATGCTAGCTACAGAACCCAAGAAGGCAACACTACCACCAGCAGGACTTGAAGGCTTCTTAGCCAAGTCTAAACCATTAGCACAAGCTGTGAACAAATCATCCAAGCAAGCGTCTCCAAACACAGGCAGAGAACCAGAAGTAGCCATGGCTCGTGCTCTCCTTTGAGCAGTGGAAAAGGAGAAGAAGGTCTTGTTACTTTTTGCAGCTACTTGAAACCCAAATTGAGAAACAACAGGGTTCAATCTTGAGAGAGCAGTCGCTGACATATCTGAATTAAGACAAGAAAACACTGTTTTTAATTAACAATAACAACCTATAAATCATGCCCTATCTATAAGACTATAACCGAAACTAGAACCAATCACAGGAGACTATTAACGACTAACCCGTTAAGCAGAGATTAAAATTTAAAATTTAAATTCGTTCACTCACTCTTCAGGGACTCTCGTTGTAGGAATTAGGTTAGACGATTGAACAAGTGAAAGGCACTCAACCCTCCTTAATCCTCCGCCGCTACCTCTTGTGTAATTTTCATCAGCCGTTGAGGGTAAAATCGTAATCTCAGGTATTAGCTGCTCTGTTCGTTCGTGTGTTACTTACCTGTTCTTTTGAAGCAAAACATTTCTCTCGAAGACTCGTTATATTTGTGGCCCAAGAATTGGTCTTCCTATAAGTAATGGGCTTCACATATTTATGGCCTATTAGCAATAAGGCTTACTTATGCTCTCTTTGATCTTAAACTCACAAAATTTAATCATGGTTTTATAGTTCAAATTTTAAATCTATTTAAGAAACTGTGTCATTAAGCAGATTTAGTGTTGTGTGGGGGTAACATTATATATGCAGTGATGTCTAATCTCCAAAGGAAAATAAGGAGGAGACATCGCTCCTTTTTGAGTTGTATTGTCATTATGTAATTTCCATCACTAAATCACTATTATGGGACCTAATATGCGTTGGATACATCAAAATCAAATATCTTTGCTCGATTCTCCTTTCAAATCAAATCACTGATTAAAATCGGTTGGTATAATTCGAATTATCTGTCCATTTTTATAGTCTTTTAGAGAAATATCCCCACACCTTCCAAAACAAGAAGATAAGAATGATTTTGGGACAAGTCTAGTCCACTCTCATCTACTCATTTTTTTCCCCATTAATGCACAAAATTCGATTCCGCGTTTTAAGACAGCAAGCAACACACTACTAATAGAAACTTCAAACTCCCAATGATTGTCAACATCATTTTTAATCTAGAGTTTCAACTTTTTCCTATTCGAATTCAAACTCATAAAATATACACCTATGTGAAAATGATGATAAATAATAGACTACCAAATAAAAATAAATTCATTTTGTTGCCGACTTCTAGCTAGAAGCATTATGTACTTATAATTAAAAAAAAAAAAAACTTATAGGGGAATAACACTAAAACTTTCACTAAAACAAGATTACCAAAACATCTACTAAAATTTGATACAATACTTATAAACTACTATATGCTACACTCTTCTACTTCCATATCTCTTTTACGAACTTCTACCAATGTCTTTGCCTGAAAACTCACCACTTCCAAACACATCCATTCCTCCCCCACCTCCAATAGACGTTAGCAGAGCTGACAATCCCCCACCAGGGTTACCTCCACTGCCAACAGCTCTTCCTAGTCCTAGAAAGTCTAGTGTCGTCTGCTTTGGACCAAACACAGATGAGTTCCCCATCATGAGCTCTTTCAGACCCGATCCACTCCCACCACTGCTACACGGTAGTAGTCCCAGCCCAAGTTCGTGACTGCTGAGTTCCATAGATGACGAAGTAGTTGACACTATACCCAACCCGCGAAGCAAAGAACCACCCGAGCCCGTGGAGCCCATTTGAGCAGCTTTTTGGAGCAACGCGGTTGCTGACATAGCTGGCTGTGGAGGAAGAGGGGTTAGAAAATGTGGTGGTGGATCTTGTATTGTTGGTCCGAACAGTGAAGGATTCGTGGAGAGACAGAGGGAGATGGGTTCCATGGAGGAAGAAGATGGTGCGAATAGACTTGGGGAAGGTGTTGAAGAAGCATATAAACTAAGCGAAGGTGGTGTTGAGGAAGTAGCATATAAACTAGGAGAAGGTGTTGATGATGCAAACAAGCCTGCGTATACGCCCTTATCATTGCTTGGAACCGATGAGCTCACATTGAAACCGATCGTTCTTGGTGCTTCCTCGATGATGATGGCTTCATCAGGAGGAGGGTTGTTATGTGGAGATTCTGCAAACAGAGTTACAAGTAATTAAACTTTTAATAAATGTATAAACTTAAACCTGAAAAGAAGCAAATATCAGTTGAGTTTTTTTATTTTATATTAGCTAATGGAAGACGACGAATAAGTTTAGTTTTAAAAATGATCAGAAATATAACGGCGCTAGAGACAAAACAAACTAAACTCCAGACATTTTCTTGAAGTTGTTGTCTCTGTGTCCGGTTAGATACGTGAGGATTCAGACACTGTTTTAATGTGGCGACAAAAATTTGATCCAATTTTTTCCTATCAAGCAGAGAGTTTGTACTATTTACCTGAAGAACTCCGAATCGGCAAAACAGAGGAAGATGCGATTTTAGTAGTCTCAGTCTCAGCCGAGATAGCAGGTGCCGGAGCTATAGCAACCGACGGCGGAGAATGAGGAGTTAGCGGATGTGAATCAACGGCGCATGGAGATTTCAGCTCAGGTTCTTTATGTTTCTTCCTTGTCACAGTATCTGGATAAAGTTTCTTGCTTTGAGTATGGTTCTTAGCACTCTCCTCAGCCAACGCATCACAGAAAGCTCTGTGCGTTATGAAACTATCCCTCCTGCAACAAAAACACCAAATCCCACAAAAAATAGTAAAAAATTTCAGACAAAAGTACCACACACTTCTTGTAAGAAAATTTTCAAAAGCTACCTAGAAAACAGAGTTCCACAATCACATCTATATTCCTTGGTGCCACAAATCTTGGAATGAGCTTTCCAATCAGATTGAACAGCATACTTCTTTGAGCATTTATCGCACTTATACTTCTTCTCGCCGTGTTTCCGACAAAAGTGTTTCTTGATCCCAGTGAGATCTCCAAGAGCACGTGACGGGTCGTGATGAACACATCCCGCCACAGGACAAACGTAGACTTTCTTCCTCACTTCTTTACTCGATCTCTGTCGAAGCTTCCAGGGTAAGTTGTGACCACGACGGTGAAGCTGGAGATTCTGGTCTCGTTGAAACCCTTTGTTGCAGATTTCGCATACGAATCTGTTTGTCGCCATCAGTGTTTTCGGTGACAAAGCTATCACTTCCGCGTCTGGATCTGTAATTTTAAGACAACAACAAAACAAAACAAAAAATCAAAATTTTTAAAGTGAAACACCAAAAAAAAAAAGATTTGATTTTTTTTAAAAAGTTACCAGGCATTCCGGGGAGACTCCGTTTCTTCTTCGGTGGTGGGTTTTGGTTTCCCGTTGAAGAGACGCTTGCATCGCCGGAGACCGTAGAGGAATTATCCAAATCGACCGGCATGTGTAAAAGGTAAAGACACAACTTTTTCTCTTACAGATTGTAACACAAATTAAAAAAAGGTAAATCTCAGCTTAACTCAGCCTAGGGTTTATCATCAGCTTTGTCTTCTTCTTCTTCAGCTACCAGTCAATCTGCTTTTCGTAAAAACTCTCTTTTTGCCCTTTCCGCCACCAAACTTTTCTGATAAACTCTCTCTCTTCCCCAAAAAGATTATTAAAACAGCAAAAAAAAATCAAAACTCTCAATACCCAAGAAATCTTCTAATCATTTATAACCCAAAAGATAATTCTCTCATCTATCCACCGATCTAATCCAAAGGCTGAGATAAGATTCCAGAGGGGATGAGTTTCCGTAAGCAAAAGTGGCTTTGATCCTTTCTTCCTCTGAACAAAAGAAAAATTATAAGGTGGCTTTGTGTGAAAGCTTCAGTTTTGTTTTTTCTTTGGTTTGTCCGAGACAAAGGAGCCTTCCTTCTTCTTTTCTCTCTCTTTGGGGACAATTATACTAATTTTTCTTCTTACCTTTTCAGCAATTTTTATAATATATTTTACCATCAATATTTTTGTTTTAATAATTGTGTCAACTTTCAAGTTCCAAGTATCTAAATCTGATTTTTGGATTCCCATGCAAGATATTAAAATTATTATACTCCATAATCTTTTATTCTCTTCTTTAATTTTTTAGAATGGTGTAAATAAATAAAGCACCAAGCTTATTTTTTACAATATATAGAAGTAAAAAAGTAAGTAATAAGTTTTCACCTTTATATCAAAAAGACAAATCATAGACGTAGGTGTACTGAGAAAATGGCATGTGAATTTGTGCAGTGCCCAATGAATGCAATATCAGGTCTTTGTTTTTTTAATATTGTAATGTTAACATGTTACGTAATCAACTGACCAAGTATTTAATTTCCTGGATAACCTGCAAATTTCTATTCAATTTTCTTTCTAGCGAGTTTGATATTTAGTTTGTTGCTTTTTTAGATTTATATGTATATTTATATTTTAATGGTGGTATACTATAGAAAAAAAATAAATAGAAGTTGATTTTTGTGAGAAAACGAGTGAAAATGACTGTCACTATCTTAACCCTTAAGCCGGGAACAAAGGAAGTATTACCGTCCCGTTGTCGGACCAAACCTCAGTAAAATAATTTACATATTTGTTGCTGAGCGACTAACAACTAGGACTGGGCATTTTATCCGTTATATTTGATTCGATCCATTATTCGTTTCGATTCGATCCGAAAATTCCGGATATCCGTAAACTTTCGAATCAAAGCAAATACTAAAATTCAATATCCGGTTAAATCGAAGCAAATCACAAATATTAAAATTTTGGAAAGCGGATATCCGATCCGATCCGTAAATATATAAATATATGTATATTTTGATTATATTTTAAATTTTAATTGTATAAAATTATATAATTATTAATTTAGCACATGATTTTGAACAATTCTATTCAAATTATTACTTATATAAAAGTATTACATAAAAAGAGATAAAATATTTTTGACAATTATATTTTTTTCTTAAATTTTGTGTTATTATAATTGTAACTTAAACTTTAAAAAATTACAAAATCTATAAATTCACTAG